TCTTTTTTCCATTGTATATCCTTGCCTCCTTTGTCGAAGATAAGGTGACCATAGGTTCGTGGATTTATCTCTGGGCTTTCTATTCTGTTCCATTGATCTATATTTCTGTCTTTGTGCCAGTACCATACTCTCTTGATGACTGTGGCTTTGTAGTACAGTCTGAAGTCAGGCAGGTTGAGTCCTTCAGTTCCATTCTTCTTTCTCAAGGTTACTTTGGCTATTCGAGGTTTTTTGAATTTCCATACAAATTGTGAAATTATTTGTTCTAGTTCTGTGAAAAATACCACAACAGTAACTTTTAAAGTTCTGTAAACTTAGTTATTTCATTTAAAAATGCTTTTGTGTTTACCGTTTAAAAAATAAGCAATCAGGCTTTTAGGTTTTCATGTGTAGTTAACTTATTTGATCATTTTTTGTATAGTCTATGAAACCATACTCTTTTTGTTTAAACAATCTGTAGCATGACAATCTAACAGGAATAATTCCTGCTGTAGAGCTAGAGCTGAAAGTTATTATTCAGCAGCCAGATACTGCCATGCCTTTAGAGCAGGTATTGTAGATTTTGAATAGAAAGCTTAAAGGAAACTTAGAAGTGTGTCTCCTCCATAAGCGAATGTCTATGTTTGTCCAGCAGAAACTTGGCACGGCACCGGGAATGTGTATTGCCACTGTTTTCACAGGATTTAAGACATCTCTTTCTAATGTTCAGATTTGTGTGGACTGCTGCCTCTGGCTCAGGGTTCTTGTAGTGGATTCTTTGGACAAGACTTTCCACCTTTTATTCTCATTATGACTGTGATGAGGAGATGACCGGCCCTGTGACACCACTTGTTATAGTGTTGTATCTCCCTGAGGAGCTCTCCTCCTGCCTCATTTATGGACACATGACTGAGAAGGGGAAGGCTGAGATGTGTTTTTGACACCCGGGTTTTGGGCCTCCTGCATTTTCTGTCTCTGTCCCGCACTGAGCCGTCTGTGTGTTTGGCAGGTGAGAGATGAGCAGCACCAGTGTTCCCTGGGGAACCTCAGGATCCCTCTCAGCCAGCTGCTCGCCCGTGAGGACATGACCCTAAACCAGCGGTTCCAGCTCAGCAACTCAGGTCCCAACAGCTCGCTGAAGATGAAGCTCGCCCTCAGGGTACTGAGTCTCCAGAGTGGTTGGGGTGGGGGGGTCCCGGGTGGCTGTGTAGCTCAGGGGAGCAGTGAGCAAGGCTTGTGCTCAGACGCCAATGGCAGCAGTGTTTCCAGGCTGTTGAGCAGGCCGGAACTGTTCCTCACACTTTCAGATGAATCCAACCAGTCTTTTTTTGTTGTTTTTTTGATCCTTTGGCCCAGAAAGTATTGCTATCTGGATCAATAAAGTTTTCTGCTACTGTTAAATTTTCAAAAGTCATTCAGAAGGGAGAATTTAATAAAATTCTGCAAGATGGTAGAAATCACAGGAAAAATAAATTTTGTCCAAAATAGACAATGATTCATTTGTAAGTACCTAAGGAAATGCTGAAAATAAAACTGGCAAACATATGGGAAAGTGCTAAAACTCTCTAATTTTTAAAATGCAAATTAAAATGAAGAACCAGCTTCTTAAAAAATTCAGTAGTCTGTGGAGGGTGTGGTAGAAACAGTCTCCTTGGGCCTGGTCACAGCCTTTCCAGGTGGGACCACAGTGTCTCCAGGTGTAAATCATAGAGCTCTTCCTCTGGAAGCCCGACTCCTGGAGCAGCACAGCACTGGGGGTGTTGGCTGCAGCTTCACTTGGTAACGGTGGGGACCGGCTGTCGGTATGACCCCCGACATAGGCTGTGCAGCGGACGTGTGCACACACAGAGCAGGTGTGGAAGGAGCACGCGGGGCGGGGCTGCTTGCACGTAGACTCTCGGAGTCCTGCAGCCTCTCCTTCCGTGATCGCTGGTGAGATGGCAGGATGGGGGTCGGTGGAGGAGGAGTTTATGACCTGGCTCTTCCTCCACGAAGCTGCCCCCACCGTGCCAAGAGTGGCCACCAGCAGAGGCCAGAGCGTGTGGCCCTGTTGGGTGGCCTGCACACTCTTGTTTTACACTTCCTGTGACGTGGTAGGATACCTAAATAGGTAGACTGCTTTGAACGTCGTGTGCCAGGGTTTAAAGAAACTTTGCAAATGAGGATCCCTAAAGCTGTTCACACGTGAGCCTGTGACCAGCGTCAGCGGTTTTCATCCCGTGTCTGTTTTCACCCCAAGGTGCTCCACCTTGAGAAGCAGGAGAGGCCTCCAGACCACCAGCACTCGGCTCAAGTAAAACGGCCCTCTGTGTCCAAGGAAGGGAGGAAAGTCTCCGTCAGGCCTCAGATGTCTGCGTCGCCGGGCTCGGTTGACAGCGGCACGGCCCCATCCACGCCGGTTGCTGGGAGTGGCGAGAGGCCTGGCGTGGAGGAGCGAGGCCCGCCCGCGGAGGCCGGCCTGCAGGGCCCGAGGGACCTCGGCCGGAGCTCCTCCAGCCTCCAGGCGGGCCCCGCCGGCTCCCCCAGCCACATCTCCGTCAAGGAGCCCACCCCAAGCATCGCCTCGGACATCTCGCTGCCCATTGCCACGCAGGAGCTGCGGCAGAGGCTGCGCCAGCTTGAGAAGTAACTAGACGTGCCCGCGCTCTTGTGGAACCGGCACAGGGCCCACAGGCTGTGGGTGGGGAATGCAGTCTTAAGCAGACGGTTTCAGGCAGTCTGCCCCCTTCACTCCCTGAGCCTCTGGCTTTCAGAGTAAACCTGCTATTTTCTGGTGCCTAGTGTTTGGCTCACTTAAAGCTTAAGAACAGTGCGGTGATCCTCAGGTCATGAGGGAAGCGTCTAGAGTGAACCTGTTGGACCTTAGCCCAGGTCATGGAAAGGCCTGGTGGCAGTGGGGCGTGTTTGTTGTTTGAGGACAGCCCTGCTCTTTCATGCTGGGTCCACACCCACTACACCGCCCAGCACTTTGTCTGGGGATGTTTGTGTGGATTCCTCACTCACGCCAGTGCATCACAGGTGTGTCCATGGCTCCCTTAGATAAGGACAGGGTCTGCAGTTATCCTGAGCCTCAGATGTGAGCCTTTTCCTCTCGGCAGGAGGAGAGACTTGCCCTTTGAAGCAGCTTCCTCTGCTGCCCTGCCGTGCTCAGTGTGAGGTGGGCAGGCAGTGCAGAGAGCTCTCTGCTTCAGCCTGAGACGGGCCGGGGCTGTGACCTCATCAGACGACCCACGAGACTAGGGCCGGGGGCTCCGAGAAAGGAGCACAGATTCGGGCAGTGCCCGGGTAGACGAGGCCTCAGAAGGACAGAGTGTTGATGTCTGTACGGAGAGCCCCTGTCTTGATTTTACTTTGGGCCCCAGTTTTTAGAAGTTGGGCTATATTGAACCCTTGAGTGGAATGTGAACCCTGCTGGTCCGTTTGTGCCCAGAAGTTCAGACAGGGTTCCCATTTGTGGGTTTTTTGCCGCCACCTCACGTGAGGGAAAGGACGTGCTCACAGGCTCTGAGCCGTCTGCAGAGCTCACTCTCCGCTGTGTTTCCCCAGTGGAACCACCCTGGGACAGTCCCCACTGGGGCAGATCCAGCTGACCATCCGGCACAGCTCGCAGAGGAACAAGCTGGTGGTGGTCGTGCACTCCTGCAGGTGAGCGTCCTCACGGAGCAGAGCAGGCAGGCGGGGCTCTGAGTAGGGACTGTGGTCCTGGTTTGTTTGCTCTAATACTCCCTTAAACTGCCATGTTGTAGTTTATAAAACGTTCCCTGTTACTGAGCCTTTAGAACATGATAACAGGCGTATTTTTCTGTTTTTGAAGTGTCTTTGGGGATTCAGTTTCCAGAGTAGGTGACAGTCCAGAAGACCCAGGCAGGTCTGTGGGATCCTGGCAGGAGCAGCCGCAGTCTCTCGGGAAGAGCAGAGCAGAGCAGGGCGGCGGGTCCTCACTCAGTGAGCACGGCACGGGGCAGCAGGGCTGCTGCAGCTTGTGTCTGGTTATCAGTGCGGATGGCATAGAGCTGTCTGATACATGTGACTTGTCGGTCTCACTAGTAGCTCTGATGTAAATAGGTGATACAAAACTTTGGATGTTCTAAAAAAGTGTCGGAAACAGGGAAGAAAAATTAGTAATGTTTAGAAACATGATTATGTGAACATGTAGGTCAGTTCAACATGTGTTTATTTACTGAGCACCGCCTGTGTTCCTGCTGCTGAGGCGCTTCCTGGGACAGCTTCCAGAGCAGCAGGCTGGCCAGAGGACCCTCCTCTGGGCTTCCGGGCTCCTCGAGATGAGTGAGCAGTTGGAAGTGGCTGCTGAGGGACACTTGAGCCTGGGACACTGTAGGTTTGAGCAGTGTGGCTACACCGACATGGAAGATTTTTTTTTCAGTGCTAAATATCACCACCCTACACCACTTGCCGTTGGCTGACTCCGCGGATACAGAACCACATAGGTCCTTAACCTCCGTGTAGTTCAAGATCAGCTGTAATTAAAAACTAGGTGTGTTTGGCCCAGTTGTTGGGACAAGAGCAGCGAGGAAGAGGTGGGCATGTGTCTGTGACGGAAGGGTTCAGTGGGGCAGAGGGCGGAGGAGGGCGTCTTCGGCCTGAGCAGAGGCCAGGGAGCGGTCCTGAGGACTGCAGCTGCACAGCCTCCCGGGAGGCTGACTGTCCCCCCCTCTCCGGGGCCTCCCGGGAGGCCGGCTGCATCCCTCCCTGGGAGGGCCGGTGAAGCGGTGTGGAGGGCGATGCCGTGGTTTCCCTGTTGGCAGCAGAGCAGGGAGTCAGAGCGTCCCCCGGACTCTGGGCTGAGGAGGTGGGGTCGAGGCCACCTTCGCGGCCACTGGAAGCCGTGAGCACTGGAGAGGACGGTCGCCTCCCTGAGCTCTTGGCGCCAGGATAAATGCATAGTGGGGGAAGGTTCTCGTGTGGTGCTCACAGGCATAGTTCTAGACCCTAACCCAGTGGTCTCCGGTCTGTGTTACAAGAAATCTCATCGCCTTCTCTGAGGATGGCTCCGATCCCTACGTCCGCCTGTATTTGTTACCAGACAAGAGGAGGTCAGGAAGGAGGAAAACACACGTGTCAAAGAAAACGCTGAATCCTGTGTTTGATCAGAGGTACGGTCCACACCGCCCTTTGAGGAAGGCCTGGTGGCGCCTGTGGGGAGACTGTGAGCGAAAAACACCTTCCTGTGAGCAGTCGGGGGCTTGCTGATAGATTTGAGTATCACATGGATCCCCAGGCCACACCCAAGCAGTCTTGGCCTGCACATGTGTGGCTGGACCCCAGTCCTCGTGGCTCAGACACCACTGACATCTGGGGCAACGACAAGCTGAATGGTGTTGATGTCCACTGATTCAGTTTACATTCCATCGTTGAAGGTACTAGTTGCTTACTGTGCTTTCTGGCCAGTGACTTCATTTAAACTGAGGCCAGAAACCAATGAAGTAAGCACCAGTCTTGGTCAGCCACAGCCTCTACAAGTTTGGGGACCCACCTGCAAACCTGAGGTTCAGGCTGCTCACTCTGGGAAGACTGGCCTATCCACGTGTCCCTGCGAGGCCTCCGACCTTGTCCTCTGCTTTGCCAGCCTGCGAGCCTCCAGCAGCCTCTGGCCTCAGCCACCAGGAGCTGCCTGCAGATGCCTCCTCCACGAGGCTGCCTTGAGGATGCTGGTCTTCCTTCACTCAGGGCTGTGAGCTCTCACTCCTTGGTCTGCAGGTGACAGACTGGCCTGGACTGCCCAGGTGTCTCACACCACAGCCCAGGTTTTTCCCCAGGAATCAGGCGTTGTGTACACACCAGGGAGCCACAGAGTCAGCTTCACATGTTTAGGGTTCCAGTCTCCTGTTGTGTTTGGAAAATAATGGCGGGGGGGGGGGGGGGGACTGAGTCTTCCTGAAGGGCCAGGTCTAAACATGTAGCCTAAGAGATCACTTCTACAACAAAGAAACAAAGATCATGTTTGGAGTGGACTCATAAACAGAAATGTCATTTTTTAGTTACAGTAAAACAGCAAAATTATGGAGAAGTGTAGGATGATCCTCCTTTTTTCCACTTCAGCTTTGATTTCAGTGTCTCACTGCCAGACGTGCAGAGAAGAACCTTGGATGTGGCCGTGAAGAACAGTGGCGGCTTCCTGTCCAAAGACAAAGGGCTTCTTGGCAAAGTAGGTTAAAAAAGTTCTGCATTTTGTAAAAATTAAACACTTGACCCAGAGTGCACATTTTAGACTGGATTTATGTACGTGGATAGTCCACGTCAGCTAAGCTGCCGTGAGTGGCTTGTGAGTCGGTACCGATGTGAATTACCTCCACCGACACTGCATGATAAGCTGCTATCAAGGCTGCTGGCTACAGGAAGGGCCTCTGGGGTATAATCGACTACAGGTCATGGGTGGATCTTAAGGGGAGAAAAATTGAAAAGCCAGACACCCAAAATGCAAGTTGCCAGAACCCACTTCTAGAGGTGTTTTCTAACCCACAGGTACTGGTTGGCCTGGCATCTGAAGAGCTCGCCAAAGGCTGGACCCAGTGGTGAGTGTCCCCCACAGACAGACACAGAGCCCGTGAGTCCACTCAGGAGCACGGCCCCCGTGACCACTTGTCTGCTGTCTTCCTGTGTCTCAGGTACGACCTCACAGAAGATGGGACGAGGCCCCACGTGGTGACGTAGGCCGCACATCAGGAAGCCGTCGATGCAGCTGCCCGCCCTGCCCCAGCACCCTACACACACACCCCGCAGACACACCCAGCTGCCCCGCACCGACACACCCCTCCCCACCGCCCGCACCGCACCCATGCTCTTTTTATAACTTCACGTACTTGGTCACTGGCCCCCTGACGGTTTTATAAAATGTTGATATTTTAGGCGTATTTCGCCAATATTAGTATTAAGTTTTGTATGTTTAAATTTCCTCTAGTATTTCACCAGTTGTTACGGCGTGTGTAGCATATCAGCCAGCTGTTGTGTGTGTAAAGCTGTATGTCGGCTGTCTCTCCTAGGAAGCCGATGTATGGACCTGCTTATTATTGCCTTGTTTTGTATATCACTGAGGTGTACTATGCTATATAAAGAGACTATTTTTTATGATCTCTACATGCTGGTTTGAAATTCAGAGAAAATGGATCAAGGAAATATATATATTTTTTTCTTCTAAAACTTATTAAATTCTTATTACAAATAATCATTTTTGTCTTTGCAGGAAAAAGTTCTCAGTGACCTATTTTGTGGTGTTTCTTTTTAAAAAGAAAAGCTGAAAGATTAGTAAATGCTAGTATATTTCTGCTCATTATGAATGGTAAAAGAATGTATGCAAAATATTTACACTTTCATAAATATAAAGATGTATTATAAGGAATCAGTTGTAGTGCTTATAAGGAAAAATGTTGTATAACTGAGCAATATAAAATATCACAAGAATTGTCACGGTTCATAGTGCACTAATCTGAAATTTCTCACATAAAGTAGAATGTCTTAAGTTTATTTTTAGTTGCTTGTTATAACTTATTCATGAAACAGTATAGATACATAATCCTTTTCCTGAAATATAATACTTCAATGTTAGCAGTTAGTCTGTTGTGGAATTTTCAGTGTTTTCTCAGCTGCAAAAGAAAGACTTAACTCAGGTTGTCTCTGCAGAGGCTGTGAGACAGGTCGGGGTGAGCAGATAGGACATGACGTGGGAAGCCGCCGCTGGCACACACGTGTCGGTGTGACGCACACGGGGCGGGGCTGGCGCGCGCGTGTTGGTGTGACACGCATGGGGCGAAGCCGGCGCCTCCACCGCGGGGACTCGGGGGTCTGGACACGGCGGCAGCAGGCTGTCAGTAACCTCCTACTGGGTTTCTTCACCTCATGCCGTGACTGACCTCAGTATTGGGATGTTGTTATACAACTTTTATTTGGGAGTATTGTTTCTTCTTAGATTAGGAAAAGCATGTTTTATATCCATGTATATAAAGGTCCCAAGCCTCTTGGGAGGTGAGATTCCATAGCCGTGCAGCAGCTATGCATGCCCTGAACACGGTGCACGTGTGCAGAAAGCTTTAAATATTCTAAGCTGCGGGATGCAGATGACTTCCTTAGCCATGAGGACATCCTCCAGCCCTGTGCAAATACCGGGGGAAAGGCGGCTCTGAGCTTAGAGACCTCACCGTGCGTCCCACGTGATTCCTGGACGCTCGCGCGGCCTGACTGCCCAAGTGCCTGTGGACGCTGCCTCTGCTCTGCCTCTCCTGCCCTCGGGGCTCAGCTCTGGCCGGTCATACTTTGACCCCGGGGGCGGGGGGGAGCCCGGAGCTTCGCGGCACGTTTCTCGCAGCTGTGCAGACCCAGTGCCCTCGCAGCTTCCTGGGCCGTAAAGCGGTGAAGCCCCAGCAGAGACCACCTCCTCCATCAGCGCGGGAGGCGTTGCGAACCTGGTGGCACGCACAGGAAACTGACTGGTGTTTCAGCAGCAGAAGAACAGGTCATCACTAAATCCACGGCCTGCCCATGGTTTTAGGTTTATTGGAGACTTTTTAAAAGTTGGGTTTGTTGTGGGAGTTCCCTGGCGGTCCAGTGGTAAGAGCCGGATGCTTTCACTGCCAGGGACCTGGGTTTAACCTCTGGTCAGGAACTGAGATCCCACACACCATGAGGTACCCGCTTCTCCCCCCAAAAATCAGGTTTTTTGAAGGGCTTCTGGCATAATTTGTAAAAGAAGGGAAACACTCACTGAAATTTAGCACACCTGTGATTCCTGCCAACATCCCCAGTATTTGGGTTTTGTAGCCATGTACTTCACCTATTCAACATGTTTTACTTGATGAAATGCTTTATGTAAGCAATTAGGCAAAATAAATGACACGAAAGGTGCAAAACCCAAAAAACGCCAGTTAGCAGCACGATGCCCACCTTTGTGTGGACAGTGGGGCCTGGACAGACCCAGCAGCCAGCACCATTCTCTGCAAAGGGAAGGGATGACTCTAAGGCCGGGACTCTGCCTTTATGGCCGACGGGTGTTCAGAGGAAAGCTCTTGTGTCCGGTGGGGCAGCTGAGAGTTGGCTTTAGGCCAGACCCCCGGCTCCATGATCCTGGCAATGGACAGTCTGTTCTCAGAACCTTCATTGCCAGTTTTGAATAACTGCTTCATTTGGGAAAAGGGAACTTCAACTTTTCTACCTTGACCCAAGCCAATGGAGGGAAAATTAACGTTGCTTATTTTGAATTGTTACTTCATTGCTTATCCTGTGCCTTAAAGTGTGAAGTGTGAGGCCTTGCTTCAGGTTAAAACAGAAGACGCCTCGCAGCCGAGTTCACCACAGTTTATTCCTCGTCAAGGGTCAGCCCTCCTTTGTCAGGAACTGAAGCCAAATGCAAATAGTGGTTGTTGCTTTAACGCCATTCTAGCTGGACCAACCCCTGCAGACGGAACACAGCAGAGGGTTTTTTGGTTTTGTTTTTTATTGTAAAATGCCCTTTTTCCTCAGCTAATTTTACATGGCAGTGCGTGTGTTTATTCAATAAAACTGTCTGTGTCATCTCGCTTGTGATTTATCCTTCCTGTCTTTTGAAGTCAGATTCCCAGTGTGGAGCCAGGCGATCTGAAAGGTGTGTGCAGCATAGTACTTGCATTTGTTACTTGTGAATTCTTTTGTTTTCAAAACTATATCAGATCACTGATATTACTTCTTAGTTTCCATCTTAATTTGACTCTTCTCTGCCTCTCTAACTCTGAGTTTTGAAAACAGCTCTTCTGAAAGATAATCATGAATAGAAAAAAACAAGTCTTTAAAACCAGAGCGCTGAGGAGTTGTGAAGAGGGTCTGGTTTGAACAAAAGGGAAACCACTAGAGGCAGTGTGACTGAGTCCAGGCTCACTCTGCTCACCACTGGATGGGCCAGTAAATCCGGGAGATGACGCGTTGAGGCCAGTAATACGACTTCATCGACTTTATTCAGAGAGCTGGCTGACCTAAAGATGGCAGGCTAACGTCTCAAAATAATCATCTGGACCAGGCTTGGATGCCAGGTTCTGTTATGTATCAGACGTGGTGAGGTGAGAAACAAAGTAAAAAGACCATTTAATTTTTGCGAATAGCTCCTAGAACAGCAAGCCTCAGACGGGGGGGAAGGGTTAGTTTCATTTCCTTACAGCCATTTCACAGGTGGTGTGAAAAGGAGTATTTCCTGCCGTATCAATAAACAAGGATGAGCTAACAAGGGTTAGCAATCTGTCATTTCAGACCCCAAAGGTGAATTTTGAGCAGGTACCACTCCCTGGAATGTCACAGTCATTCACAGGTTGAGAGGGGTGGGGGGCAGTTTATCTCCCAGTGAGCTAAACAAAGTCACTTTAGCCCTGTTCCTGGCACACAGCTGATGAAAATATCTGTTGAATAAAGGATGTATAAACTTGGCAGACCTTAAATAACAATAACATGAACTTATCCTAACAAGTTTCCATGTAAAAAAAAGATAGCAATTGACAGTTCTCAATTATGGCTAAAGAGAAGGATAGGATGGACACAGTAAAGAATACTGTTGCGACAAAAGCCACTAGTATAATTATCTGAGAAGTAATTGAACCAGGAAGTCTGTTTTTGTGTTAATCAGGAAATCCTGGGCAATACAACAAGGACAGAAATAGGTTATAAATTTTGTCTTGGGAAAGAAGGTCGTTTTCAAATATGAGATTGTCAACGTGAAAAACCTAAGCAAGTCGTATGAAAACTCTTGAACAAGTATTTCATAAAGGACCAGTTATAAAAACATAGAAATGTCTGTGTCTTATACAAAAATAGGTACTAGAAAACAGCATGGAAAACATCCGACAGCAGGCCTGGCGCCACACTAGAGGTGAGACCTGCTCCAGATCAGGAGCGGGCGCAGTTGGGCTCCACTCCGCGGAACCCATCCCGGAGCACTGCCGCTCCGGGGTCCTGGGGGACCGTGTCGAAAACAGTCAGTGGCGGCTCTGTGACGCTGCAGCTCCCTGGGGTGGTGAGGCCAGTTGAGACCAACAGGAGACTGACCGAAAAATCTTAAAACCTGGGAGATAGATATAAAAGAGGGCTTCGGAAACCTCTCGCGTCCCTGGGCGTCTAGGAAGGCGTGCTCGTGCGCAGGCGCATGAGTGAGGCTAGGCCGGTCACCTCCAGCTGTGCTGAGGCTCCGTCAGCGGGGGTGAGGGCCGAGCAGGACCACGTGATGGGGCACACACCAGCTCTTACCAAGCACCCGGAAAGTGAACGTCGCTCAGTCGTGCCTCTGCGACCCCACGGACGACACAGTCTATGGGATTCTCCAGGCCAGAATACTCGAGTGGGTAGCCGTTCCCTTCTCCAGGGAATCCTCCCCACCCAGGGATCGAACACAGGTCTCCCGCATTGCGGGCGGATTCTCTACCAGCTGAGCTATCAGGGAACCCCAAGAATACTGGGCCAGGAGTCCGAAGTATTAAAGAAACCTGACCAAATTGGCTAACAGTGCAGACTTAAGAGGCAGAATGTGACAAAGAATATGGCTTCTAGAGAATTTATCCAAGAAGGCTACTAAGTGAAAAATACCTGAGTCTAGGGGAGGTCTCTTAACTTAAACAACGTGGCCACACTGTATTATTTCAAATTTTCAACAACAGCAGCAGACATACCGAGAAATATAAGCCACTATATATACTATAAGCCACACACAGAGGAAAAACCAGTCATCAAATGTGCCCCCCAGGAAGCCCAGGTGTAAGCAGACACAGAGCTTAAATCAGGTATTAGGTACGTATGTTCAAAGAAAACTATCCAAAGAATTCACAGAAAGTGAAGTGTGGTTTTCAGCAAAATAGAGAATAGCAGGAAAGAGAAATTATCAAAAGAATAAAATAAGAGTCCTGGAGTATAAAATACAGTACATGAAATGTAAATGTCACTGAAGTTCAACGACAGACTTGCGTTCTCAGGAGAGTCAGAAACTGGAGGCTGAGTCGCAGACCCATCTCCTCTCCTCTGAGCACCAAAAGCAGGATGGAGCACGAACAGGCCACTCAGTGGAGCCCCAGAGGGGAGGGAGGAAGGGGACCGGGAAGAACACTGAGCGAGAAGATGGGAAACACGCCCGGGTTTGCTGGGCACGTCGCACATTGAAGAAGCTCAGCAAAGCCTCCCGCAGGAGGAAGCCAGAGGCCCCAGCAGGCGCGGCTCGGCCGAGCCGTAAGGAGGGGAGGGAGGGAGGGGGCCGGGCCCCAGCGTCTCTTCTCACCGTCACACTGCGCTGCGAGGGCCTCCCGGGCACGGACGTCGGCTTCCGCCATCGCCTCAGGAGTCGGCCCCCTGTTTCTACCGGAGTGGCCGGGCCGAGAGCGGAGACCCAGTTAGACCCGCCCGCGCGGCCCCGCACGCGTCTCGCCGTCGGCTGAGCGGACTCCCGGGCAGGAGCGACTGCAGCCGTGCCTGGCGAGCGAGCAGGACGCAGGGGCCGCGTCGCGGGGTCCGTGGGAAGGCGTCTGGCGTGCACGGGCCGGGGGGCAGCCGCCACGCACCCAGCTCTGCGCCGGCTGCAGGCCCCCGCGCAGCGGCCCGACGGGCGCCATCTGCTGCCCGCGGCCTGCCTAGGCCCGTGGGCCGGGACCTCCGAGGGCCGCGCCCACGCGGCCCCGCCCCGCCTGGCTGAGAGGCGGAGAACTGCTCCCTGCGGCACAGACAGGCCATGGTTTGTAACTGCTGCTTTCCTTCATTGCGGTGTAAGATAGAGAGATGTGCAGAAGCCCTAATGGCTGTGCCCTGAATTTTCACAGACTGGCTGCCGTGAGCCCACATGTGGTGACCAACAGCACCCATGAGTCAGTCGGGGGAGAGTAGGCGGCTGACAGCAGCGGCTGCAGCGGGGACTGCTGCTCCGTCGTCGCGGACTTTGTCACGGCCGCGCCAAGGAGCAGGGGTCACAGCCCCGCCACCGAGGCGCCCGAGGGCCAGGCCTGCAGCGGGGTGGGGGCACTCCAGGTCCCTTGCCCCCGGAAACCTCTGGTGACTTGGGATGCCTGGCCTGGCCCGCGGGCCCTCCACGAGCTCCCTGCATGCCCTGGGCCACACGCCCTGGGCAGTGCCTGCCTTCTGAGGCCTGGTGGATTCTACTTGAAGTAACTGCAGACGAGGATCTACGGGCCAGGCCGGACAGCACCACGGCAACCCCAGGAGGGCTTCCTGCGCCAGCCAGGACGCAGTTGCAGGCCACACATCTCCGCGCTCAGGCTCCAGGCTGGTCCCGGTCCCCAGTCCCATGCGGGACAGTCGCACACAAGACACATGCTTTTCTAGAAGCTTCTCTACAATACAAAGTGTGGGGGAGGCTGGTCCTCACAGGTTCTGGGTCATTTCACTGCTGCCAACTGCAGGACTGGGTTTGTCCCGAAGGTAAAAAGCAAGCTGTTCACAGCAGTTTTCTAACTAAGCAGAGAAGTAAAGGCGCAGCCCTCTGTTCTGTGTGCAAGCCCGCCTCCATGTGATGGAGACGGGTTTTCTTTTGCTGGACTCTTCTTTTTCTTTTCACACTAAGATTTCATATCAAATAACCCAAGATTTCCTTTCACTTGTCTGCAATTTTGCAAGCTGCCTCAATTCAGCTTGAGAGGCTGAGCTCTTTATTGGTGAACACTTTAGCATAACTTAAATGAAACATAACACCAAGAGCTTCTTAGATCATTTTTTATGCAACAGTTTTCCCAAAATCTTGCCCGGATTGTCCCTCATGCCCTTCAAGTGTGTGAATGCCCCCAACACGAGGAGCCAGATCTATCTGTTCTTTAAAGAGTACAGAAAATGGCTTTGGGGAAATTTGGTTGTATACCCACATTGCCCTTCTTTGAAAGTGTAAACCTCTGAAGTGTCTCGTTGACTTTTTCCAAACGTAAAAGGCCAGCTGCTTGTAGTGCTACCCACCGCTTGGTAACGTTTAATCAGCCCACTGCACACAGGACAGCACGCGGGGCCTGAGGGAGCGGCCCGTGGCCACGGACCAGATGTGCATGTCTGCCTGTGTCTGCGTGCACGAGCACGTGGGGATTGCCAGTGCACGCACGAGTGGACACATGTGTGTTGTGTGTGCATGCTGACTGTGCACACACCTGCCTCGTATGTTTACACGTGTGTGCACGCAAGTATATGCATGTGTGCTTGTGTTGCATGTGTGTATGGTGTGTGCATATGTATGCACTTTGTATGCGTGTGTATAAGTATGCATGAGCATGTTTGGCTCTTCCAAGACATTCTCCTCAAACCCAGGGTTTCAGTCTGGATCCTCTTGAGAGTGGAGCCTAAGGCAAGACCTGTGTGCGTGTGGTTGTTTGGTAATGTGGGGCTGAGAGCGAGACTTCCCTTCTCTTCTGGTCTCTGAAAAGATAAGTTTGCATGAGAGAGTGATCACCTGTTTCTTAAAACTTTGGTGAAATTTGCCTATAAAAATTTCTGAGCCTGATGCCTTTCAGGAAGAATTGGATTACCATTCATTTTAACATTTGGTATTAGCTTATTTTCAATTTCTCATCAAATCAGTTT